CAATGTCGGGTGGTTTACGGATGCTACCTCTCTATCTTGGAAACTACGCCTTGTGTCCAAGGGTGTATGAATATACTTCGGATAGGGCATTGCAGACTACATGTGGGCCATCCTTATGATGGAAGTATTTCTTCAGGACTGGCATATCGCTCGTCAATGTTGTTGGGAATCCGGTGACATACACAGCGACAAGGACGCGAGGAATAGGCCGCCATTGAACCCTCCGCCTGCTAATGAACCACGATATAGCATCATCAAGTGATTCCTTCACTTAATGGGTATAGATAGCTGAAAAGAAACTCTACCAAGCTAATGTCGCCTGAGACTATCTATGTGAAAGCTTAATACATGACAATGCATGAACTTACAGGTCAGCTCCCCAAGTGATGGACATTGTACCTACTCGATTCCTAGATGATTTGATGAGCTTACCACAGAACTCGATACAAGTCAGCCACAATTCATTGCTCATCCCCTCAGGAAGTATTCCAACCATGCCATAAAGGGACCCCGATCGAAAGTACCCGCAAAGTGCCAGACGTCATAACAACCCGATGTCCTTAGGTCTTGCTTACTTGCCTCTGATGAAGCATAAGCTGGCGTAGCTACAAGATCGCAGGGTAACGTATGGCGATAATGTTCTCAGTCAATGATGACCTCCTCGATCCCAAGCGTGTCCCTGTTCGGCACCTGCTGCCAAAAGATATGCCAAGATGATGCGAACCAACACGAGTCTGGACCTTGGACCTGAGCGGTGGATGCAGGCAGCCGTTCGGCTTCAAAAGAGCCCGCTGTCTCTGTGTAGCTCTGGGAAACATGGCATGATACTGTTGTTCCGTTTCCGATCCAAGAAGGGGACAGAATTTCAACACGAGCTTACACAGACGATCTCTTCAGCCTCGAGTAACTATTTAGAAGCACAAGGAGCACAGCTACGACCGACACGAACTCGGAATGGGTATCACGGTGAGGCATCTCGGTCGACATAAGTATTAACGGTATCCTGTACCTATCTCCAGAATCTTAGAAAGAACACCCAAAGGTCCCTTGAGGGTGCTCAAGAATCTGTCGTGAAGGTCATGTGCAAAAGTTTGTGCGATGAAGTCAAATTTGCTGTCTAGCCCGCTCGTTCCAGAAACCGGCCTCTCACGCCATCCTTCGCGTCTTCTTTCCATCACAGAAAAGTCAAAGGTTCCAGACTATATGCATGCCCAAGGAGAAAGGCTCGTGGTGTGCTGTCAGATAGACCATTCTGAGGGTCTCGGGGTAGTCGGATCAAGCCACAGGGGATTCGAGGTAAGTCATCGAAGAGTCCATGTCATCATATACAAGACTGGCGCCTCTTCACCTCAGAGTACGACAGGTTGTAGACCAATGCCACGAGCTGGGCTTAGCGATCGCGCGGCCCGACAAATCTCGCAGTCAGCTGAGGCCGCAACCCGAGCCGAAGCTAGTAGACGCGGTGCCATGGAGGACAACCTCGAGCGGAGTCGTTCAGCAGGACCCATGGTGTTTTCATGTGTGGTAATCGTGTTTCAATCTTGTATGCAGACCTTGGGCTGAGGTATTGAACGGAGGGTGACACGATCCTCGGCTTACCCTCGCACTGCGCGAGGGGCGGGACCAGGCATGTCCCGTGGGGAGAGAGGTGAGACGAACGAGGTAAAAGAGAGGGTAAAAAGAATTGGCGATGTATGCAAGGCGTGACACGATTGGGTCAGATCTTGTCTATTCCTGGGTACCGTCGTACGGGCTGTTGTGACGCGAGAGGTCAGTTGGTTCTCCCCCGCCCCCGGCCTTGTGCAGCCGGGCGCGAGCTGGATTGTCCGTGAATGACAGGGAGGAAACCGGGATGATATTTCAGCGAGAGAGGGGCCGTACGGCCGACGTAGGGTCTCGGACAATGTTGGACAGGCCGTTCAAGTTCTTCCTGGTTTCCGTTTATTACGAACTGCGGATTCTGGCTTCGGATCAGCAGTCACAAGGCGCTCCTTCACGGATCAGGATAGCCACGCGTAACGGCTCGTTTGAGGGTGAAGGATGCGCGACTTTGTTCAGCCGTTATTCGGCCCGGTGTTTTGGCAAGTCAGACCGATTAGCCAAGGTTGAAGAGAGCGGGATGTGACTCTGTTGGGAAATCCTTCCGCTGAGCATCGCTTGTGGCTGACCGAGGTGCCAGGGATGCTGTTACTCGGTGAGTATTTGTGTGCCAGGTGACTTTCTCTCAGCAATTTCGGGCCCGGGACTTCGGGCCAAGTGCCTCTACGGTTCTTTGAGAGAAGAGGAAACTTCTCTATCGCTATCCTTGACTGGTTCATACCCGAATTCGTACCAGGATGGGTATTCGCGACTTGGATTCTAAGCAAGAGCACAGTCATGGAATCCTAAGAGACAATGTCATCAACTTGAATTGTGTTAAACACACACCAAGTGGTCGTCAAAGCCACATTGACTTTGTTCGCACGTAGTAGAGCTGAAATTATGTAGCAAGGGGCCATGCACCCCATATTCTTCAAGCACGTTGCACTGGCATGGCTACGGCCATTGTACGGAGCATCTGGCGAACATTCCTCCCACCCCAGAGAACATCATATTGTGTCAGAGAAATAGTACCGCACCTATGGCGTGGCCACTCCGAGTGGCAGTACCATCCATCATGGCTGAAGTGGTGGTATTTCAACCAACCCCATCTTTCCCAGGGATTCGGTTCCTTGACATGGGTGATAGTTCTGAAGGAGATGTTGTCTCGAATCAACCTCCAGCAGATCAGAAAGACCACATTGGCAAGGGGGTCGCGTGCAGCATTTCTTCACCGGTAGATGCCAGATCGGGAGCACGCGTGTTTTAGGCTAAACGCGGCGGATAAACGCGGTCTTCCTCACCGCCGCTTTTCTTAAGCAGAATGGGGGAAATCGATGTACACTTCAGGTGCTGTATCCGGCGTTGACTTGGTTATGTAGTCTTGTCAAGGTAGCTTCCTTCATGCTAGAACCCAGGTTGTCGTGGTGTCTAGGTAGCAGAGCGTGATGCAAGATGGATGCATTCACCGTGTAAATCACCAATTTTCTATGCCTTCCGCCATGAATAGCGGTAAGAGATCCAGCGATGAGGAGCTTTCGCGAATACTCCATGCATTCACGCTCTAAAAAGGTGCATGGATCAACAGTGCATGCAGTAGACGTATATATGCACCCATGAAACAACATACACGCCACTCAGTCCACTCGAAAAGGCTACGAAGTGTGTAAGAGTTGCTCCGTTGGGCCATATCAGACACGGTACGTATTCGGAGAGTGCTTTTTGTGATCTCATGACGATATGCCGCACCGCATATCCGGAGACAAGGGCTAAGGAGTCCCTGAAGAAAAGATAGAGTAGCTTACATGGGTATCGGGCCGTGTCATATTCTGCCTAGAGCGGCTTGTCAGGGCGCACGTCGAGAGGCACGCAATTCACGATTTGGGGAGCGACTCACTAGAGGGGTTCACCTTGATGAGGCATCACTGGGCGCAGTTTCGAAAGTGGTCTCGTGGTGTATGATCTTGCCGCAAGCTGAAATCCTTCACTGCGTCTGCCACGTCGAGTGACAGGATATGACTGAGTGGTGGGTCTAAATAAGCGAAAGCTACCTCGAAACCGAGTATCATTCCCTACGAGCTCGATCTTAGGGGACGGATTCTTCATAGGTATGGTATTTAGACATGGTGAGCCGTGGATGAAGAGTGAAGATAACGTGAGCCATGATGTGTCGCGGCCAGACTCTTACTCCTCACCCCCCCCCCCCCTACATACTCATCCTTTCTTGGTGCCTCGGCTGATTCCCTAATGCCAAGGGTGATGGCGGACCGAGGTGGTCCAGAAGGCTCTCCAGGAAGTGTTGTGACGGACAAGTCCATTGTTATGAGAGGTAGACTAGTCATTGGGCAGGAACGTGTCGCGGCTTCGTAACATCTGTGAAAATGATAGAAGTCTAACTTCCCTTTGAGGCTTGTTACCTTGACAATGGTGAGTGAGTGAGTGCTAATAAAAGTAAGTTTTTAGTCTGATAGAGAGAGCCCGGACATGGGAAAGCCACGGAAGGACTCAGGGGAATATTCTCAAGGACGGTTTCGTACACTGGGCTATCTCTCAAGTAATTATCCCTCAAATGCATCGTTGACTGATGTACTTATGATCCGCTCCCTTGAAGAAAAAGAAGAGACTACTAGCATGTAGTTTGAGACACCTTCCGAGGAAATCTGGCTACTGGCTTCATCACGTCATTAAGACGTTGAGGTCTTTCAAATGGCGTTGGAGCCTAGGGAAACCCATAGAAGCATTTACCTATCTCTAGATTAAGATGTATGACTTCGTTTCTCGGAGCTTCCTCTTGAAGTCTTGTCCCAGATTGTACACACGGATGCCGGATCACGAAGACTTCCTGTCCCTACCTTACCGTTGATGAGGGTCTATATCGCAAACTTAGTCGGCTGCTCCGAAAGGACGGCAGATTTGAGTCTCCTATTAAGCGTCATATGACTGAATCGACAAACCAGATTCGGTCGTGGGTACTGGATATTAGCACAAGTGACTTGCTTCTTTCAGGACATATAGCCAAGGGAAGTTTCTCAATCTTCTCAAAGATAGAGCCGCAGGTATTGCAACTCGCCTGCGGGGTTTCTCGGCGTATCATCTCTCTCTTCGAGGTAATCGCCAGGGCTGAACTGAACTCGAACAAAGAACACCCAGCAGAAAGATTGGTTCTTTTCGTCTTCAGATGAAAAAACCGGCAGCAGACAAGGTTTAAATATTACCTTAGATCAATCATCATCTGCAATCGGTTGCAGTACCTTACACAAGCCTATTGGATGTCTTTTCAGAAACACGAGGATTCGTTCTAGGTTGACACTTAACGTTTCGAACATGGCGATGCCATATGAGATCGTCAGAATATTCATTAAATCGCTATTTCATAGTCCCCATAACGTTGGCAGCCGCATCATCGACCATCATAAACTAGCTCACAACCAAGTATAACACTCATCCGCAACAGGCACCTCAACACTATAAAGCTCCTGCGACCACCACTGCGTCGCAAACCCAACAACGCTAAAAAAGAAATCACTCTTCACCGAAAGCCCCTCCTCACAACCAGTAGTATTCTGACCAACACTCACACCCGTCCCATTCACCCCCTGGCTCGCAGACAGGACAAAGTCATTCACCAGCTTCGAGCGCGACGTCACCCCCGAGCTGAGATCGATGGCCCCGCCGAGGATCTCGAACACGAGCTCGACGCCCAGGTCGACGTAGGGGTTCACGCCGACGGCGGCCTTTTCGGAAATGTTGGCGCGCGCGGTCCAGACGGGGTCCCAGCCCGTGGCGGAGGAGGACGCGGCGTCGACGAGGTCGAGGTGGAGTTTCGCGTCGGGGAAGGAGAGGCCTAGATCCGTGGTGATGGATGCCTTGGCGTCGGCTTCGAGTTCGACGCCGATGGCGAAGCCGATTGCGGGGCCGAGTTTGATGATGCCGGGGATGTCGACGAAGTTCTGGGATTCGGATGTTAGTCGGCGTAATGCGGCAAGTTTCAGAAGTGATTACTTACGTAGCCCAGGTCTTCGGGGTCGTAGGTAAAGTTACCAGAGTACGGCGCCTTGACGTCGACGGTGAGACCCAAGACCGCGTCAAAGGTGGTGTCGATGTCGAGGGCGAGCTGCTCGACCTTGAGAGGGATGATGCTATACTTTAGCGTGCCGGAGAAGGTCATGTTGGACGTCAGGGAGGCCTCGTCGGCGGTGACGGAGAGGTACGGGTCGTAGCTGAAGAGGTTCGTGTCGGCGGGGAGGGCGAGGGTGTTTGTGATGTGAACGCCGCCATTGTCCCACTTGATGTCACGCTTGCTGGCGGGGCTCCGAACAGGGACATTGGAGAAGGAAATCTCCGTCGAGGCTGGTCAAGGTGGTTAGCACCTCGCTTTCTGTCACGTAAAGAGACATAGACTTACTAGCCGTGTTGGCAACGTCGCTCTTGTGAGCATTCGCAACAACCTGAAGAGTCTCGGCGTCCCAAGTGACGGTATCAACCAAGAAGAAGCCGCGCTCGTTCTCGGCGTCGCAGTTACCCAGGTGATTCGTAACCATGACAAAGTCATCAAGCGCCTGCCACTGCTGAGACGTCTGCTCAAAGGCGGCCGTGGCGTTGAAGGTGACGGTAATGCTCGCATCCTCGGCACACTCTACGCTCGCAATGGCCGCGACCTCCTCGAGGACGACCGAGGGATACTTCATGGCCAGGACGACGCTGACGAGGCTCACGTCGTCGGCGGCGCCGTAGTTTAGAGTGATGTCGTTGGACGGGATGAGGTTAGCCGGGTCCGTCTTGTTGCACTCGGGCCGCAGGACGGGGGTGAGCGTGGTGGTTGTGTTGGCGGCGGCGTGGGCGCCGGTGACCATGGCCACGGCCAGGGCGAGGAGGGCGAGCATCTTGGCGGACTTTGGGGGAGGGAATGAGTGAGTGGCCTACGCTTGCTCGAGACTGAAGAGACAAGATCATGGTATCGGAGGAGGAGAGCTCGCTCATATAGATGTCTTAGACGGAGGAGGTCTGACAGTCATTCTTGCTGCTGCCGGGTCGGCGATGGCGGGTTGAGCGTGCGGGATTAGAATCATTGCCATTATTCTCTCCGCCATCCTTGTAAATGACATGCAGGAACATCCCTCGCGAGTCGCGATGGCCTCATGGGCATTCTTCTTACAGGGTCTCCCGAAAAGGGAACCTTCTCATCTTATTCCATGTCACATCTCACTTTCGATGCACCATCCGCACGCGTTACCATCGGGCCCTCCGCTCCACATGCCGTTGCGCGAGTCACGGAAGACGTTACCAAATGGTAGCCCGAGCTTATCGATAATCGAAAGAGATTCAATACATCCCACCGCGGTGCAACGTCGGGGCCCTGATTTTACGTCACATTGAACCGCGGGGTCACAACTTTGTTTTGCGTCTTATCCACGAGATGTAGTAGCAAGAGCTTCGGCCGAGCTTGCGAGAGGAAACCCGTGCCCCGCGAGAGAGGATCCCATTGGACATCGAAGAGAGCTCTGCCGCGAGGGGGAGCTTTGACAGGATGCAAATATTGAACACATGCCGCCGAGGGGATTGCGGGATCGTAGCATCTCCGGCGGGGGCACGTCGGGCGATAGCTCCCGGAATGGCGCTCGGCGGGGACGTTGGAGGCCCGGGCGCGGTTCCCAAAGGGGAGTTGAGGCCGAGTTGGTACCAACGGCGGGAAGTCGGTGACCGATTTCGGATGTTCGGAAAGGGGAACGTTATGTACTCTATAGTGGCGCGCTTTATTAATAGCACCGAAATAGTAGATATCATGTATGCTCTTGAATCATTCATTAATGAAATGTCTAAACGGGGCGCTTTGCTAGATGACTTGAGATTTTCAACTTGCACCTGATGCAATCTCTCGACCACTTATTCAATCCCTCATCATGACAGGATATCCTTGAATGAGAGGGGAGAAAGTACAAAGAAGATGGAAGAGTATGATGGGTAATAATTATGACGGTTTGGTATCACCATCTCGGCTCTGCTCTTTCGGTCGCGGGCGTCTCCAGAGCGTTCTTGTCGGCAAAAGGGTCATCGTCGTCTTCCTCCTCCGAGTCAGGCTCAACAACCTTCTGGACAGGAGGTCTCGGGGGCTTCGCCGGAGCTGGTGCGGGCGGGGAACGCCTCGCCATCGGGACCGGTCGGGGTGGAGCAGGCGGACGGGAGGACGGAGTGTTGCCGATGCTCAGACCAGAAATATCGGGGGGAGGCGGGGACATGGATTGCTTGGCCTTTTCCGTCACCACTGTAAATCTGTTAATAGAGCTCTTGAGGATTGATGGGAGTACGTGGACGCTTACTTCGGTACATGTGAGCTTGCTCGGCAAGTTCATCGTCGGAGTCACTGTCGGCGTCGATCGAGCGGTCGAGCTGCTCAAAAGTCATGAGCGCCGTGACAAGCTCGTCGTTGGCGCGAAGGAGACTGCCGAGCCACTCTTCGGATTCAATGTGGTGGATCTGTGACAACTAGTCAGAGAAAAGCATCAGGCGGTGAGGCGCGGACGTGACTTACATAACGAAGGATCTTTCGTCTAAGCTGTTTGCAGCTTTCGAATTGCTGGACAGCTTGAGCGTTATCAGAGATCCGTTCTCTCTCACGGTTGATGCTCTGCAGGTGGTTGGTCAGGTTGGTTGTGGCGATGGAACTCTCAGCAATCGCGCTCTTCATTGCGTCCTTTTCCAGTTCCAGGTTGAAGGGTTTGCGCTTGCTCTTCTTGTCCTTGTCCTTCTTCTTCTTATCCTTTGACGACCCGAAGAAGGAGCCGCCGGAATGGGAAGAGGATTTGGAGTGGCTGAAAGAGTTGGTGACATTGGATGTGTTACCATAAGGCAGGTACGGCGTTTGCTGAGGCCTGGATGACTCGCCGGCACGGGTGGTGGGCGAAGGAGGCTTGTCCTCTTCCTCCTCCCCGAAAGGATTCTCAGTCTCCCGCACAGCTTTGGATCGCTCCTGGGTAACAGCGACCTTGCGCTTGGGTAGTTCCTAAGAGAAATTAGTTGGCATCGGCGAGTGGGAACGTCGGCCGTACCTGGTGCAGTTTGGCAATACGCTCCAAGCCTGGCGTGCTCTTGTACTGAGCCCAACTGCGGAACAACTCGGTACACTTCTTTCTGACGTCGGGATCAGAGAGATCGGAGGTTCCGCAGACCCTAAGTCGTTCCAACAGGGGCTCGTCGGCGAAAGCTCGTTGGAAACGTGGGCCAGCGTTTTGGATCAAGCCGTCCAGGATGGTCAAAGCTCTGAGCTGGCGATGGACGTTGCCGTACTTGAGCTTCTTGCGAATGGCGCGGGCAGCCTCTACGGGGCCCGAAGCTTGCAGCTTGATGACTTCCACAAGGTCTGGGATGCCACTCATGTCATCTTCATCGTATGTCTCGGCGGTCAGCGTCTCAACGCTCACCGTAACGGCGGAGTATGGTTTCTTCTGTCCTTGGTGTCAGTTACTGTGTACTCTACAGGTACCATAGCTCTTTTGAGGCTACATGAAGCTTTCGGAGGGTGTTGAATAGGCATCAGCACAAGTAAACATAGCTCTTGAGCATCCACTATCGATCCATCTAGCCTCACCGAAAGCCCCCTGCGTGGCCGTAACCACCCGATATTGCAGAGAGCTAGAAGATGAGGGGGCGCGCGTACCTGAGAGAACATGATGCCCGGCGTACAATGCAGTGAGGTATCTTGAGTTCAAAGTGCGGTAGTCCTTAAGCAAGCAAGGACTGGTATGTAGCTGTGGTGGTGCGGCTCAACCCAGGTGGCTGGCCGGAGGAGGGGTCAAGAGGTGAGGTCGCCGCTAGTTAGCGGAGGGGTGTCCGCCTGAGGATACAAGGATAAGGGTGGCACACGCGGGAGTCCGGAGCTAAGGTTGTTGGTCGTCACTAGTGAGGTTATTCAGATTATCGAAAATGATGCGAATGATAGAGAATGTAGTCCGTCGTCAAGATCGGGCTCCGGGTCGGGCTCGGGATGGAATGTGCATGAAGTGAGTGAATGAGGGACGGACGAGGCAGTCTTGGTGGGGCAGGGAGGGCGCCCTCCAAGCTTAGCTCCGCGGGGTGTCTCCGGTACGTACTCTTCGGGTGCGCGTGAGCCTACCTACCTTGGGTGAGCTGGGCCCCGCTGACGTAGTTTCACTCAAGAGCCCGTGGAACCGACCCTGAAAACTGGACTTGAACACAGGTATTACGCAGCATGCTGGTAAACAAAGGAGAAAAAACAAATTCACTCAAACGTTGAAGAGTTTTCACTCGACTTCTCAAGTTTTTCCCATCAAAGTTTGGGTCTGGCAAGGCACATGGTTGGAGAAGAAGACCCGAGTTCAAGGTACATTGCCTAGGTACTGCTGGCTTGACCTCTCTGAACAGTGAGCTTTGGGATGTCCCGTCAGGACATCTGACGAAACAAAGCTCGCACAAGCGCTGGAAGCACGAGCCACATCTCCCGGACCAACCAGCTTCAACCCTGTGGAGTCATCACTCCCCTGAAGACCACCGGCACACCACCGGCACTGCTCCTCGCCGTGATCCGGCTTGGCCAATCGCAGTGACTGGCCGAAACAACATGTCATGTGACCCCATAGTGCCCGAAAGATGCTTCGAACCTCGTCGACGTCTAGAGGGTTATCGTTCTTTGTGAGAGCTCTCAACTGTTCTTCTCAGCTTCTCAAAGCTGTTCCAGAACTTGATTAAGATTTCGGTCGCTGTTCAATGGGTTAAAGCCCCGAGTCCAGGCATGACATAAGTTACCAACAATAACCCGGCCATGGCGGCCTGCAAATGCAGTCCAAAGGTAAAGGTATTGCTTCCCGGGTTGAACGGGGCCGGTTCAGGCAGTATCCTATGATAATCAGTTTTACGAGAAACGTTTGGACGCTGGTCTCGAAAGATGGGTCCGATTGTTCGTTCAGGCTCACTTAACTCACGGCGTACCTCAGCTTAGCTATCAAGTAATGACATGTTTGTTCATTTATCCAGGAACTTTCAATCGCAGACTCTTTGATGCAACTCCATGCCAATGCAAAATTGATAGTCAAGTAAAGAAACAAAACTCTTGATTCGGCAGAACCCGTCTTCCAAACTTACTGTCTACTTCTCTGCATTTTCAACAGCATCCTCAGCGTCATCCTTCGGGGCCTCCATGACGGGGTCAAAACAGTGGCACTTATCCTTGCTGTAGTCCATGGACCAATGGCATCTTGTGCTGTGGCAATCTCCATACTTGTACCGACGGTCGGAGCCGTCTGTCCGCTTGGCAGTAGCCCACTTGCAAAAGTCGACCAAAGCGTTGACGACACCGATAGTCATGATGATGAAAAGTTTGAGGAAAGTTGGTAGCTGGGGTCAAATCAAAACACCAGAGCGGCGGGTCAGAAAATGGCTCGGTGTGTTTAACAACGTGCGGATGAAGCTATTTGATGTTGTTGATGAGGATAAGTAGATTCTGTCTGGTGGCTTCGATACCTCTGGTTAAATAGCCTCGGCCGAGGACCCTCTGAAGCCATATATTCAGGGAACAGAAGCTTGGCCAAATCTTCATGACTCTCTAGATCTAAGCCGATGGCTTATTGTGCTCCCTACATCGCGTGAAAGACTCAATGCATACTCAGAGATGCTGTTAAATTGAAACGTTGAAGGCTTGAAACCTCGAAAGCTATGTGTCAAACAATCATCAGCCGTTCCCCGACACATGCCAGCAACAGATTCCGAGGATATATCCTTTCATCAGGTGTTCTGATGGATGGTTGTCCTTCAGGCAACAAAGGGATACCGGGCCCCTTTGTTGGCGTAGGATGAACGGATCTTCCAAGTCGGGCTGAGCACTCGAGTAGACTTCACTATGAAAGGTTGTAGAAAATTTAGGACGAACAAGGGAGTGTCACAATCAGCGCAATCCTTCTTGTGGTATTCGACGCCAGCAAAGGCCACACGGGAGTGCCCTGTGCCAGTTCCATATCCTACAAGCACTTACGCACGTGCTAAACTATCAACACGAAATGCCATCATCGCTCATCACACAGCTAGAACTCGTTCCCATTGGGCTTTCTTTGCTTCCAATCAATGGCTTCGCGCCAGCTTGAAAAATAGCCATATCCTTCGAGTAGGCATTGTGTGCCAGACGGGAGAGAGGGTGTTCCTTCCCAACCGAGTATCAGAACTTGTGCGTGCTCCAGTCCTTGCCTCCTTCCTCATCTTCGTCCCCTGTCTCCTCTGCATCGCCGTTTTCTTGAGCATCGTCATTCGCGTCGCCATTCTCGCCCTCTTCATCTTCGTCGCTATCATCATCGTCGTCGTCTGCATTGAAGTCCGGCATGACAATGCTGTTCAAGAAGGTGATCTACATCATGTGTCAGCACATCCATCATCCAAACGACAACCAGCCGGCAAAGGGTTACTGACGAATGGGTGCATCGCGGCAATGATCTCACAAATCTGCTCTTGGGCATCGTCCTCGGTAAACACCTTGTCATCGACCTTCTTGCTAATGGTGAAGTTGCGCAACTTCAATAGCTCGATGTCGCGGTGATCGACCAAGTAGCCCTACGAAAGCGTGATTAGTAACGATCCCCAATGGCCGTGGTCTTTTCTTCGCCCTTGATGGATTGCAGGACGTAAGATTAGACATAGGCATACCTTGGGCTTGGTCTTTAGCGCATTCCCCTTATTCGTTTCGGCAAAACCCTTCAGCGCCGCTTCCTCGCCCCCCTTCTGCAACGACTTTGGCAAGAAAGTCTTCTTGAACCTTTCATCATTCAAGACCCTACGCCACCGACGCGGCCGCTCATCAATACTCTCCCTCAGCTTCTGCAAATGCGACGCCTCGGGACACCACAATCCACCGCCCACGAAGCAAGAGCCTGGCTGAAGATGGATGTAATAACAGGCATAAGGTCCCTTCTTACCCGTTCTAGACCATGCCGCAGAGAAGTGAGCCTGTGAGTTATTTGCCATTAGTGTCATTATTCCACAGAGTTTCGAGCAGCCTGACGGCAATAAAGAATGTCAAAGTACCTTGTAAGGAGTCGGGTCCTTGCTGAAGCGAATATCGCGGTGGATGCGAAAGACGAGGTCCTTGGCCGGTAATTCTGGGATGGTGAAATCCACTTCGGTGATCTTTGGCGTGATAGTCTCGACAAAGGTGTTCCAGTCTTTAAGGGAGCGTCTATACTCGCCGTCGTGGCCTGGACTAAATCAGTATTCGTAGAATACCAAGAGGATTTCCTTGCGGAGCCTACTCTTGAGCCAAGATCTCTGGTTGTGAGCTTTGAGGTCTTTCAAGAACAGCAAAGTATTCTTGTGAACGGTGTCGTCGGAGTAGTCCTGCCCATCGAGCCCTCGAAGCTTCTCATGCGGAATGATAGTGACCCTACTCTCGTAATCTTCCTCGTCGTCTTCCTCTTCGTTCTCATCTTCCTCAGGTTCGTCGTCCTGATACTCATCCTCAACCTTCTCAATCTTATGCTTCTTCACTGCTTTTGATTTGCTGGGCGCGGGCTGTGGCTTAGCTTTAGGTTTAGCGACTGAACCCTTTGGCCGTCCACGTCCACGTTTTTTTGGTTGCTCCTCCTCTTCCTCATCATCACCTTCGCTCTGCACCTCTTCACTCTCACTCTCAACCTTTGTATCTCCATCAAAGTCATCGTCATCGTCGTCACCCTCAAAATACATGCTCTTCTTGGGAGTGCTCGAGACGCGCCGAGACCGCCGCCGGGGCTCATCCTCAGCGGCCGGCGACGCAGCACGCTTACGAGCGGGCATTGTTTCGAATTACTTTTCCTCGGTTTTATTCCAAAAAAGTCAGTTGATTTCTTTTAAGGTCGGGGCCGTTCTGCAGCTAGTCGTTGTGTGCATACAAAATGATTGGGTCTCAAGACCAGAAATTCGGTATCAAAAGCCAGAAAGGTGTCGTGCGTCATCGAGTGGGCGACCGCGGGGGCATGGCGACGGACGCGCCGGGATCCAGACGCAGGCTGAACGCGCCATCACATGACCTTGCACGTGTGCTTATCGTCTATCAGCGCCGCGCGCATTCCGCGGAGGCGGGACCGGACCTTGAACGTCTGCCGTCCGGATAGAATCAAACAACCGACCGGCATCCAATCCTTCGAATGGCCCGGCGCGCCTACACCAGATTTCATTGTCCGCTACTGCCTGTACCCACCGAAAGGACTCTTTTTAACTGTGAAATCTTTCGCTGACTCGCTAAGCGGAGTTTGAGCGTAAACTCCAAACATCACACCAACGAAACCACGGCACTTTCAGGCTTGTCCCGCAACGGCTTTGCATGAAGTTCGTGACGAAAGTATATCCCTATCTCATTCTAAGACCTTATGAGTGATATTCCATGAATGTAGGAATGCAAGAACACCGCCATGAGTATGGACTTGGCTCATCATCTTTGCGTACCCTGGCTGATAACCCTCTGGTAAATCGAGCTATTCACAAGAATGCCTTGAAACCGCCATCATCTACGCAGTCGTCCGCTTACTCACTGAGAATTATAATGTCTGATTTTGGTTGCCCAAGCAAATTAGAGTGACAAGCGACTTGCATAACGGAATCCGGCAGGAGACGCTCGTGACGCTGTGCGGTGGACGTTATTTAGAACAAGGCTTGGCAGCACAAGGTACTAGGCCATTGCAAGTCGTTGAAAACTAGCCATTCCATCGTCGAGGGGGCCGCGGGGCCCGAATTCCGACAACTTTATGTACTCAGATCACACGCACGAGTCACTCTCAGGGCAAAACTCCGCCAGCCGAACATGTCATTGCGCCTGAAGTCCGCAACATGGAAGTCTGCCGCGATGTTGGAAATGGCACTCTCAGCACTACACCACGACTTCTTCCGGGGCTCACTCTTTCGATAGAGACAGACATCTCCAACCTGCCGAGTACTTGCCACATGTGTCTTGACTTGAGATCCGCTCCCCCTCAGCCTGAAGTCAATGCGTTCTTGGAAAATCCGCACAGGGGCGGGTTTCTGCGAAGGCCTCCAAGACTCCAAGACTGCTTTATGTTTTCACGATCGATTATAAATACAACCGTGTTGGATCTGGTTTTGAGCTAAAGGATAAAGCTGTGATCCATCGTACTTGACAACTTCAATAACACAACCCAATTCCTACCACTCTTAGGCCACCACCACATCCATCATGGTTGTCGTCGCAGTCGCCGGAGGCACAGGTGGTGTCGGTAAGACCATTCTCGAACAATTACAGCTCAGCAAGAAGCACGAGGTGATCCTGCTTAGTCGCAAGGTAAATGCCACAGTCGCAACCACACGCATACACTCTTGATCCCCCTTCTGACCAAGCCATCTAGGCTCCTATCACACCCGCCTCAGGTGGCGCAAAGATTGTGCTTGCTGACTACGGCAATATCGAGGCGCTGTCCCTGCTGCTCGAGAAGCACAATGTCGAGACAGTCATCTCCACGATTGGTTTCGTGGGCCCGGAGGCCGCTCAGTCGCAGCTCAACCTCATCGCCGCAGCCGACAAGGCCAAGTCGACCCGTCGATTCGTACCCAGCGAGTTCGGAGTCTGGGTGTCTCCAGAGTACGCAGATTCCTTCTATCGCGAGGCACTTTCCCCTCTTCGTTGCCGCAGAGTCGCTGACACCTAACCAGCGACACGAACGCGGCGGTGTTCGGTGCCTGGCTGGACGCAATCGCCGCCCTCAAAAAGACTGGCCTCATGTACACACGCGTCATCAACGGGTGGTTCATGGACTACTTCGGCATGCCGCACACCCCAAGCAACCTCCACCCTCACACCTGGGCCGTCGACATCGCGAACCGCCGCGCCGCGATCCCCGGAACAGGCAACGAGCCCATGACCCTGACCTACTCGGTAGACGTGGCCCGCTTCGTCGTCCGCATGCTCGACGACACCGACTGGCCCGAAGTCAGCATCATCAGCGGCTCAGACACCACGTTCAACGAGATTCTGGGACTCGCGGAGAAACTCACGGGTACGTACGGTCTTGGATCTTCGAAGCAAAGTGCTACAAGGATCACGTAAAACTGACATTGCTATTTTAATGTAGGAGCCAAGTTTGACGTCGTCTATGACGGAGAAGAGAAATTGAGAAACGGCCAGGCAACCATCTGGTCGGCGGGCTACGGCGCAGGACCGGCGTCAATGGAGGAGACGCAGGCGATGATTGCTCTCTTCGGGTTGATGAGCGTCGAGGGCAGGATCCTGGTGCCCGAGGGAAACCGTCTGAACGCAAAGTACCCAGATATCCGCCCCACAGGCATTGAAGAGCTTCTTACCAAGGCCTGGGCTGGGAAGTAGGATTCGTTCTGTCTCAGGACTAGTGCTTAGGTTGAAGTACTTTGTCTCTCATCGTCGGTAGCTTTTTCGTCTCTGCCGTCCAATCCCCCTAACACAATGTCACCTCTTTATTTAGCGAAGTCTCTCTAAGATGAAGACGCATCTCTTGAGCTCAGTTCTCGTAACTCTCAACATCTCCCGCCGCCGCTAGTACTCTTGTGCGAGGTTGAGGTCTCGTCGATGATGACTGCATTCATTGTGACGAAATTTTTGTTCACTGAGATCCAATTCAAGAAGTGAAACTACGTTGCTCAATCACAGTCAGACACACTGCCACAAGTCGCTGCCTAACGCGACTGGGTCCGGAAGCTTAGCCTGCCGATCCATGCAAACTGGACCTCACACACACAACTCGAGGAAATAGTAAGATGAGACAAGTAAGCCGACTAGTCTAGACCGACATAGGGCCCGGGCCGCCCGGCTGCAGGCTGAAGTAGAGTTAAATGTCGATCCGAATCCAAAGTCCCGAAACTAACAAAAGAAAAAAGTCCGACTACCCCGCCATATGCGGTTTTGTGGATATAGCAGAGATCGTCCGCCAGCCACACCCGCCGGGCCATGCCGTTCAAACATCCTAGCCTCACAATCATCCTAACCGCTCAACGTCGCTGGAAAGCCTCCGCTCGGTAATACAAAGCGAAGGATCCTAGCCGTAGTAGAGCTTAATCTCAAAGAGTATAGAGAAGTGAAGGAGCCGCAGTACTCTGCTGACAGAAGTCTCACACCGCCCCATGGAGGAGCAGCCGAGTTCTGTGTTCCCAGCTTTCCTAAAGGTTTGGACCGAAATGGTTTATAGAGTTGTCCACCTGGAAGAGTATCAATCTCAATGATGCCGACACGTCCAGCAAAATGAAGTCAGTGTATTGATGGATCCTTCAACCAAAGTCCCGTACATCTCACGACGATATCTCATGTATCGAGACAGTGCCATTTTGCTACTCAAAATGCAGCCGACGGGCCCGCGCTGACTTCTAGCTCGGGGCTGTGTACCAGGTCTCACAACAGTTTCTCCCGAGTTGGCAAGGTGATCGTCTGAGAGGCGAGACTTGAGGTCTCTGGACCTCCTCATTGGTGGTATAGAAGTGTCCCCGCTAAGGCTCCCCTTAGCTCCTTTTCACGTTGCAAGAGGATGATCTCTATACCCACGGCTCTAGGTGCCATAATCAATGCTTTTGGAGTATTCCAGCTGCGGCTCCCTTGAGTCCCTTCCGACGTTGCAATAGGATCATCCGGAGAGCAACATCCAAGACCTTCCTAAATCCTTTCTGATGTAAGAGAATCATCACAATATCCTAGCCTCTAAGCTTCATACTTGGCGGTATGGAACTGCCCTAGCCGTGGCACCCTAAGTGTCTTCCAATGTTGCAATAGGATCGCCCGGATGGCAACATCCAAGGCTTTCGGTATCGCGATTGGCTGTATAGAGGCTCCCTGGTCAAGGCTGCCATGAGCCCTATCCGACGATCCTCAATCCCCCGGCAAGAGGGTATCGAGAAAGACCTTCGATGTTCAGATTCACGAGATGGGCTGTTAAGCTACCTCAGAGAACAATCAAGGTGGCGAGCCAAGGTAGGACATTGTTGATGGGCAGAGACGCGAACTTGGATACTTTGGTCCAAGATTCTAGTCTCACAATGTATTCTGCGAAGTATTCACCTACGGCTTGACATCTAGAGGTAGCAAATTCGGGTACTTTGGTCGAGATACCAATCCTACAAATCATCACAGTCCAGAAATTATGAGAAGAATGACGTTACAGATTCAACTATAAAACCCTCCACCCATCCCACCTCCCCATCCAACTCCCCTTCCATCAGCATCATCTTCTCACCTCATCACAACACTCTACACTGCAAATCATCTTCACAATCTTCTCAATCTACTCGACTTACCAGTCCCAACCCCACAATCCTCAAAATGAAGTCCTTCACCGTCATGGCCATCGCCCTCCTCGGCCTCACCAACGCCGCCACCATCCGCATCTGCAAGGACCAGACCCTCGGCAACTGCGTCACCATGGACGTCGGCGGCTGCAGTACGTCCCCTCACACTGTCCGAATGCCCTCAGATCTCTCCAGCCTCCAATTTTCATTTCTCTCCGCCCTCAAAACGTGAAGCTAACAAATTTCATTCTAAGCCAACTTCCCCGGAAACATGAACGACGTCGTCAGCTCCGTTGACACCGGCAGCGCCACCTGCACCTTCTTCACGTGAGTTACTACCATCTACTTTATTCTCTTCTTCCAAGAATGGAGAAGATGAAACATTCAATTGCTCTCTATACGTCAAGCAACATCGTCGAGAATATCTTTCTGACACAATTTCTTCAACCCTACTAGCGACGGCAGCTGCGGCGGCGCCTCCTGGACCACCAGAGGTCTCCAGAACACCGTCCCCTCCAACTTCAACGACAAGCTCAGCTCCGTCCGCTGCTAGAGGGAATCCTCACCCTCCATGTTTTGGAAAAGTTGGGGGCCGTTTCCGACGGAGAGACACGCCACGAGAACATGATGGTGACGTGGTGTTTTCTTTCAAGTACTCTCTTGTAAGGGCCCACAACAACGTGAGGAAATAAAGGGGGGCTATCAAAGGTGATCTTGACTTGAGGATTTTGGTGCTCTCTTGGTTTCCGGAAAAGAAGCAAGCTAAACTCGACATCGAATCAGCTTGAGCTTACTACCTGAGTACTTATTCCTCCTCCATATAGAAAAGAGACTCTTTCAGTCCCCAATGTCCCCTCGCTCGCTTTACAGTCAACGTGTCTCTTGTTGTTTTCACCCGTCCTCGGTAAACTTTTAGCCAACTTCTGACACAAGTTCGAATTCGTTTGTAAACTCATCGTATTGATATTATTCCCCGTTGACAAATTAATAACCAGAGAGGTTTTACTATAGTCCGGCAAATAAACCTATCTTCCACTACGAGGAGTGGAAAAAAAAAAGAGGTAGATACGGAGTAGTCCATTCATTATTACTCCAATTCTAACTGTAGTCTTATAGCCTTGAAGTGTTCGTACATTCAAGGTCAGTCCGCTTCTTCAATCACATTCCTCATGTAATCGCCGAAAAAACATTCCCAGCTCAACAACTACAAACCAAACTTACACTCCTTGGAATCTCAAATGCACTTGGAAACTTTCCAAGAACGGGAAGGGCAATCCGGCTTATATGGTAGTCAGCCAAGCGGGACCATCAATCACAATTCACAAGGGATCAAGCGTCGAAAGCAACGTCAGATATGAACATTTCATTATTCATCCAGCAGCCTATCAACGCCTCACAATCCCGACAGGAACCACATCTCTCGTCCATACTTCATAACCCTCAAAGATCAAGCCAGACTAAGGTGGAAATACGACAAAAGCAACATGGAAATAGCTAGATCAAACCGACCGAGCCGCGCCACCCATCCGACGAGCCGATGAGACCACCAAACAATGTACACGCGAAGAATAAGAGAAATAAGGTGAAAAACAAAACGCAGTGCAACTATTTCTCCGACACCTTCCTTACTGCGTCAAGGCACGTAACATTAGAACGCCAAGCCAAAGCTTTTTTCCCTCCCATCCCCGCCCTCTCTGTCTCCTGCGTAGTCTGGCTGGTCCCTGTCTGTCGGTACTCCGCCGCCGGTTCGACGCCCCGAAATCCCGACCAGGGGTCGCTCTCCCCTCTCCAACATCTGAGAGCAGACCAATGATACGCTGCCATTGCTCGATTCGTCCACTTCTGCATTCCAATTCAACGCATTTGGCCGTTGAGAGCATCTTTCCATCCCAAAAAGATCTGGACCAGTGACCACGCCGCCTTGTTGCAGTCTTCGAACGCGGAGAAACACGCATGCGACAGGGAAACTCCATGCCCTGCAAACAACCGCATCGGGAGAAATCATGTCTTGGCACTGAGAGGTCGACCGACATCAAGCCTCAATGATGCCGCTACTCCGTCGAAAACCGTGCAAGCCATGCAGTGCAACGGCCTCAACCAAATACTTTGCCATCTGGGGTCCGACCACTTCATCCGAGATTTGGGTCATGGGCAATGCGTCCCAGGGGTGTTCTGTCGCGGGGCTTCTCGACCAAATCAGCATACCCATCCAGGCTTGATCCCATTACTCTGACCATGTCGAAAATGTGCGAGCCCTTGAACGTCTCTGCCCAGAGCCTGATAACCGCTGCAGCTAGCTGTCTCAACCTTGTGCTGTCGTTCGCAGAAACCTCGTTGTTGGCAGGTTGGCCGGTGGTAGGCCCACCCAGGGATGGATCGATGGGCACAGCAAATTCCGTCTCGTCCAGCATTCTCCTGACCGATTGTAGGAGATTCTTTTCTTCGGGGGTCGCAGGGGGATCATTCGGTCCGATCGATGCGAGAGTAAGGAGCCATTTAGATAAGAGAATGGCGCATTCGAAGTTGCACACTACGAAGAAACGGGGTTAGCTAGAACAAGCGATGTTCGAGAAGAACATGTACTTACAGGAATGTTGAATGCTCCATTCCAGGCTCTTGGTCCTCGCAACATAGTTGACGCCGGCCTTGACCAACATGGACAAAGCATGAATGGCCTGGAACACGGCTCTATGCAACCTCAACGTACGGACAAGGAGGGGCATATTGCTCAACGACGAAGCAACTAGCATGTGATCCCTGGTCTCGAGGGATCGGTTGGGCGGGATCTCGGTGTATAGACGGATATATGCCAAGCGCAGGAGTGCGGTAGAGTTGAACGCTACCGGACCACCCGGGAACGAGTCGCTGTTGCCCACATGCCCCGCGTCGGCCGCCCTCAATTGGTGTCGGTGTTCGAAGCTCACCTGCCATATCCTCAGTGCAGCAGTGACCTCTTCCACATCCTCCGGCTTCAATCCCCTCTGTGGCCCAAACGGCGAGCTGAGTGCGAATGAAGTTTGTTTCAGCAGGTAAATGTGCTGAAGCAATGCGTGGATAAGGACATAGTTTCCAAGGGATGACATGTGCGGAGGCAAGCCCTGGGGAGAAGTCGTCAGAACTCTGGAGAAGGCGTCGTGGACGGTGATTTCGACAGAAGGATAGTTTTGTCTGTCTTCCTGCCACTGCCATGCCGATTCAGCTCTCCACAGCCTGGACGGGTAGGGCAAGAATAGACCAAGCTCCGAAGTGAGGATAAGAGGTGGCATGTTGTACGCAATACTGCACAGGTTGAAGAAGCAGTAAGCTATGAGCTTCGTGCGTGTAGCTCCCTCAAGTCGAATCCAAGTCTCCCAATCCGGTGCTACGGCCGGGCTGGACTCGGCTATCAGGCCCTCTTCGCGAACGAGCATAGAAAGGTGGCTCTGAAGAGATAGAGCCTCATGCAAGATTGCTTTCGCTCCCCAAAGCCCGACTGCGAAGAGCAGCAGGACAGCCTGTGTGGTCTCAAGACGAGCTTGTGGGGTGTTTGGCGAGCTGCGAGGAGAACGTTAGAGCTGACAAGCAGAACAAGATGGGAAATACACTTACAATGGCTCGCGGTGAGTGTCCTGTGTCATCGGGCGATCCTGCTGTGCCGAGGCAAAGGTATGCCTAAAGCCAGAGCTGGGAGAAGGTCGGGTCGAGTGCGGGCTGTACGCAGCGGGCGTCGGTAGAAGAGCATGTACCTCATGACTATGTCTCCTTCGAATCTGCTCGAGCGCAACAGCCTTTGCAGCATACCACAGCGCGTGACCCCGGTGGCTCTCGAATCGGTACTGTGCACCAACAGCCAAGATGGCCAGAAGAAGCTCCGGTGCCATCTCAGCGGGCGTCAACGTGGGTATGTGCAGGAACGGGAGATACTCGTGGAAACCGCTGATATATCCCTCAAGGAATCGAGTGAGTGTATGTCTGGACGGAAAGACAAAGTCGTTTGGAATGACCGATGAGAATTCCTCCAGTCGGTTCTTGATGACCGTGTGGTCGACGGCAGAGATACGAAGGGGTGCTCTCATTGACTCTTCGTGGCTCCTTGTACCACCTTCCATACCCTCCCGACCATCCGGCTGAACCGAAGGGAACCGTGACGGAAACTGCGATGATGGCTTGGACGGGCCACGGTGATGCATATCGCCACGGGGCCACAGTCCCCCCATCTGCTGATCAGACTCAAACGGGGGCGGCAAGTAGTGCGAAGAAGGCGCAAAGTCGTCGAGGAAAATGTGATAGTCGTCGTAAGGTGCTGCTTGGGGCTGAGGGACGTATCCCGGTGCTAGCATGTTCTGGTCCTCCCGTGGCCGTTCGGGATACCCCATCGACTCATCATAGGACTTAATCCTCGTATGATCGGAAGGCGGACGTCCCATCTCAGCCATCATGGGTTGCTGCATGGGGTTTACTTCGCTGGCCAGAGCCGCATCAGAAAGTAGATCGAGGTTGCAGGCAGCGGCACGGGCCGGGCCTGGCATGCGAGGATCTGGGGCCATGGTGGATGCCACGGCCGTTATTGACTCCTGGTGATACTGGGGCTGAGGCTGGCGCTGGACGCCCAGCATTTCGTGTTCGACATGGCTGTCGGAGGAAGATGGCGGATTGTGTGTGCTAGATGAAGTCTTTCTTGGCCGATTATTCTCCTTGCTGCCCTCGTTGAGGTGAACGAGCTTCTCATGGCGGACAAGGAGATCACTGATGTCCATATAAGCATATTCCTTTGTCAGAGTTGGGAGGGGGAGTCGGCCGTGTTGCAGTTGAACATCAAGAACACGGAAGAGGTGGAGTTGAAAGTCGGGGTCTTGGGACGGGGGAACGCCTTGGGGATAAATCAAATCAAAGCAAAGTAAAGCTGGGTGGTGGTGTGGTGTGTGTGTGTGTGTGGAAGGTGACAGCATATGGTGTCGATGTGGTGAGGTAAGTGTACTCAGGCAGGCCGCAGGATGGGTGAAATGACGAATGGCCAGGGGCAAGGTTGATAGAACTCACCGTCGTCCGAACGTTTTCCCACAGCGAGCCCAGCCGCAGGCAAAGGGCTTCTCTTTGGTGTGTGTCCTTTCGTGTCTTTGGACATGCTCCACACGCCTATAATGCAAAAGCAATGTAAGCTAGCCGAAGGTACAGCGAGAAAGCCAAAGTCAAGGCAAGGTAGGGCAATCAATCATCGAGAGAGGAGAGTTGGGGGGCCTTGCACCAAGGAGGAGGGGAAGCCGACTTACCTGAAGCGCTTGCTGCAATACTTGCACGGCAACGTCTTGGGCTTTTGTTGCCGGGCCTCACCATTTTCCCCAGCTATGCCAGAGCCTCCATGAGGCTGCCCCTCTATGGATTGGAGTGGCATCATTTTGTGCAAACGCTACCCAAAGGAGCGATAGGTAAAGGGGGAAAAGAAGGGTACTGTGTGCTCGGCTAGGTAATAGGATAGATAGCTCGAGGACCACCGAGGTCACACAGCACGAGAAAGTGGGGGAGATGGAGGAGGTAAGGTAGGCGGAGCAAGCAGAGTTGGGCTTGAAAGGGATACTTTGCGGGGTGCGGTGTGTGTATGATATGAAGATGATTGTTGTTGAGACAGCTTTCAGGGTCTCGCGAAGAGCAGCAACGGAGAATTGTTCTAACAACGGTCCTCTGCTAACCCCCCGTTTTCGTCTCTTTCCATGCAAGCCTGGCGTGAGCGAGTCTCAGATGTCTCTTGGTAGGCGTAAGCGTCCACGGGCGGTGGCGGCCGGCGTTTGCAACTCGAATCAACCGGTACCGCAAAGCATGCGGGAGACGCGGGAGGGAAGTGAGGAGTTGGGATTCGGAGTGGGATGTCCCGGCTGCAGTGGTAATACCTAGGTAGGGTGGGCAAGTTGCGAGAAAAATTGGGCGCGAGGAGGAGGAGAAGATTTGGGGAAGAAGGGAAGTACTGGTGTCACGGCACCACGAGTGACACAAAGGATACAGGCAGAGCGAGGTCGAGTATGAAGGAGATGTGTGCGTGTGTGTGTGCGATGGGATGTTGCGGCAATGTGTACGGATGTTTGTGCGTCGGGCTGAGGACACAAACAAGCATGCATGCGAAGATTGAGCGTGAACAACCAAGGCGTAGTTACTCGGCTCAAACAATAACAACCTTGGATAAAATGGCAGCGAGGTCCAAGTGAATTGGCAGGGAGGGGGTGGGAGAGCAAAAGGCGGGGAATTGATGGAGATGAGGAGACTCTCGGGAGAGGAGGGCAGCAGTGAGAAAGAGGAGGAGGATGAGAAGAGACGCGACTAAGGTAGGTCGTAGGGCGAACCAAAGTCGTAGCGAAGCCCGGCAGAAGTTGAAGAGGCAGAGCGGATGGCGGCAGCAGCAGCAGCAGCAGCAGCAGCAGCAGCGAAAGAAAGGGAAACGCTGAGCCGCGGCGTGTACCTTTCTCAGTAGCCGATGAGAAAGAGAGGAGCCGACGTTGACGTTAACGTGTGTAGAGAGACAGAAGCGCGGAAAAGAGAGGCTGGAGCTGTCTCGGTAAGCTAAGGCAGGTAGCTTGGAAGCTGAGAACCTAAGCTTGGGATGCGGCGGAAAGAGGGGAAACACGGAGATGCCGGCTGTCTGCGGCGCGCGTGCGACAAGGAGATAATGCTGGAAGTTTGGATAGGTAAGAGGATATGATTGGCGTTACTACAAAGCTTTGTGGTACCGGTACTCGAGGCGGCGAGTCTGATGTATAGATGGAGGGAGATACTACGTGTATCGGGAGGGGAAATTTTGGAGGTCGAAAGATGTCGCGTGAGAGGTGGTCGGTAACAGAGCTGGCTGGTGTGCCGGCTGCTTCAAAGTTGAGGTGGTAGCGACAATGGAAGGTCTGATCTAACGAAGTGCCGCGGAAGATTAATGGAGAAGGGATGCTTTCGCATGCAACATTAATGCTTGATACGTCGTGTGTACAGGACGGGCGCGTGTGCCAATGGGGGGGACGATTTGGAGACGGAGCTGGTAACGTAGTTTGATGATGGTGGCCCTTTGCGTGAGGAGGAGGAGGAGGCGGGTAAGGTAGGTGAGGTGGTAGGTGTAAAGAAAGCGGAGGAGGAGAAGGGATTGAGAAACGTGAAGCGATGAGGAGTCAGAAAACCGCGGTGGCAATGCGTTAGGTAGAAGCAGGGAGGGAGTGTAGTGCGCCCGCGTGTCCAAAGTGTGAGTCTGAGTCTGAGTCTGAGTGTGCGCGCGTGTGTCCGTATGCGTATGCGTGTGCGAGTGTGAGTGTGAGTGAGGTGCCTGGCGAGTGATGAAAGTGAAGTGTATTTTGTGAGAGGTGTGATGTGAGGTTGCCCGTGAGTGAGGTTAAGGTAGGTGAGGTGAGGTGGTGGTGAGGTGGTGGCCGGGTGGTGGTAATGGGTGGGAAAAGGTGGAGAGAGTGATGAGGAGAGAAAGAATTGGCTTCCGTTGAATGGGGGAAATCCAGGCAAGAATCTGGGGTCTGGGGTTGTCTCCTCTCTCTCCGCATTGGAGAAGCACCAAGGTGCCTTGCTCCTGCTTCGTGCTGCTACTGCCGCTGCCGCTGCCGCACTCGTAGCGTCTGTCACTGGTCGCTCTTTCCCGGTGCTCTTGCAGTACCTACCTAGGTTATTACGTACCCAAGTACCTACGTTCCTGCGACTACCTTACCTCTCCCATGCCACCTTCCCCGACCAATGACAAGGTAGCTTACCTCAGCCAAACCCCGCTGCCCTTCACAATCTCTCCAATCTCCAAAGGTACCTTGCCTCCCATACCTCCGTTCGGATATCCCTAGGTTTCAATCCCGGAGCCGGCAAAGAGACCTTGCATCAGTGGTAAGTAGATGGAAAAGAAGCAGAAGAAAGAGCCAAGGTTGACAAGCACGCAATTTACATGACCAGAGTATGTTGTCTACTTCCATCAAGAATTGAAAAAGAGTCGCAGGATTCTTGGGCGAGCAAGATGATCTGGAGCAGTAGCATTGAGACTCTGAGACTCACCTCACTCTGGGTGGCCTTGGGCATCCGCAGTCAGGTATCCGTAGACACAATCGTTAAAAAGGGGACTTTGAGGTTGACATGTGTGAGGTAGCTTTTTGCGTATGTTCGTACCAACAAGAGACCTTCCTCGGACGACCTAGTCAAGTAGCGGCTGGGCCAAGCTTCGACCAAGGACTGCCCCGTTCAACCACCCTAAAAGATGGTTGCATGTGGTGGGGGAAGCAGGGCGGGGAGCTTCACAGCCAGTGCCAATGGGAGCTCAGCCATGAAATCATCCCTCGTCGGCAAGGGCCATTGGAGGCCGATGATCCAGTCAAGCAATCCAGTCAAGCAGATACCTACGGATAACTCTAAGGCACTTCCGTCATCTGCTGTCGTGTGTGCTATATATGCATCCGCACCGTGGATCCATTGGCGAGGCCGAGATCCCAAGACGCAAACTAAAGCAAGAAACAAATGTCGGAATCTCGTCTCATCTCAACAAGCTTCTACTCTAATCTGCTTGTTGTCGTTGCGGCTTGCTGTTGGGCTACCACGGCTGTTTCTCTTCATTCCAGACCATCACCAACTGATTGGCTCTTGTCTTCTTTGCACTCCCACGTTGGTATTCCTCTGCCTCTTCTGCATCTGAGTACCTAGCCAGGCTAATTGGCACACAAGCAAGCCATGCTTTTCCTGGACTCTGCGTCAACGTGTCCGTGCAAGCTGCCTTGTGCTGCACTGACGCCGGGAGGGGATCATGGGTGCTTCTCCATTAGGCGTCGGAATACACACCGGGGACACTGCTGGTCTCAAGACGCGCCAATGGCAGCTTCGCAATAGCGGCCAATCGTGACAGGGAGCCCTAGATGAGACGGCCACATTGCCAATGAACCACTCATTCGTCCTCTTTTTGGAGAAACCACACGACGCCATCTGCCCAAGGCCAAGTATTCGTAGTGTATTTGAACGTGCAGAAGTCAGGCGTGCGGCGTGCCAGGAGTGCCAGGGTAGTGAGAAGAGATGATCGATCTTGTCCATTTCGAAACCCCCCGCGCTCTCGGCCCTGATCAGCTTCACATTCCCGCTGTTGTAGAATCGGGCGAGGCGAGACAGGGCAAAGCTCGGTTTGCTGCTTCTGGGCCGGTGCGTTCCTGTGTGGCCTAGCTCAACCCAACCCCCACCCCCGGTTGCTGTGTGTCATGAGCTTCAAAGGAATCTGAATCTGAAGCTGGGACTCCAGAGCGACGGCCACCATCCCTGCACGATGGACATTGGGGTTTGGGCAGCTACATACCCTCACCTCCCAGCAAAAGCTACCCAGCTCCATATCTCCAAATGCGGAGTCCGAGACGCGCACTGGAAAGGACGGGAGCTTGCCGGAGGGGAGAGGGTATTAGTAAAACGTAAAATCTCCCGAACAAGCTCCAAAAGCTGAAGAGGCAAAATAAGTTCATATAATAACAAATCAGCCACAGGACTGTTACATGGCGTGCGACTTGATGGTCTAACACCGTACCACGTAGGCTCATCTGCCCGTTGAGACTAGGTAGCGAGCGACGAGAGAAGCGGGCACAAGAGTCGCAGTCGGGTGTCTCGGTGCAACTGCAACGCAAGAGCATCAAAGGTTAGAAGGGGGAGACAAGAACAGAACAGGGAAAAGATACATTGCCTCTAATGATTGATTTACCCCAAGAACGACAAGCCATGCCTGTGGCATGCATGTCTGGCTATGCTTCCGTCCATTATTAGTGTGTGCTCAGTCGATCCATCATGCTGAACCCTGTCAGACCATTCTGTGCCCTTAGGTAGTGGAAGGGTATATCCAACAGTTTCCTCGTGCTTCTTGTCGCTCTCATGAAATATTGTTTCTCTTTTCTGAGGTACGCCCGGCAAGCATCCGGCCGATACTCCGCTGGCTCACTTGACCAAGGCTCTGTCCCCTCTTTTTTTTCCCTTCGTCCAGGTCTCTTGCTCTCGATTTCGAAAGGGGCCTTCTGGCTGGCGGGAAATTGCGACGAATTTTCGGGGACCCATCCGTATTGGAGACCCTTCCATGAACGTGACATCCCATCTCCAAGCTACCTTGCAGTTGAGAAATTTCCCGACTGCTGCAGCTTGCAGTAGGCAGAGGGAGGTCGGTGGATGGTTCCAGTTTTGTTGTGCGTGAGGTGTGGTGAAATGGCAGGAGAGGGAAGAGGGTGGTGTGGGAGGTGGGAATGGGCGAGTTCTGAGGATGGGAACCAAGCTCCAATGCCAATTGGGAGGGCATCCACCTCAATGCGGAGGAGAGGCAGGCACGACAGGTAGGCAGGAAGGAGTACGGGGTACCTATACAGGAGTCACCTCAGGCAGCTTGCACTTCAAAGTCTCTTAACTTTCTTGCCTCAGTAATCCTAATTCATGGCAATTTATGGAAGAAGTTGCAGCGGGCAGGTGCAGCGGACGCACCTGCGCTGAGTCTGAGGTGCCTGCCTTCCCCGTTCAACCTGGCCTGGAAGGTGCAAAGTGTGGGGTAAGCGCTGGTGACAAGGTCTGTGCTTCTACTGCGGAAGGTATGCCCCATGCTCCTGCCTCCATGCTCTCGACAACCGCCCCACAGTCGCCGGATTGTCCTTCCCCATTTTAATGTTTCCCATCGCTCCTCTGTTTTGCACAACAGCACCTTCGACCAGGACGATCTCATCGCCCTCCATCTGTAGATCGGTGGACAAAGACTTTGTCTTCAACCTTTGTGCTTCATGCTAATACCTACTACATCTATAGGCTATCTGTACAGAGTATAATGCATAATAACCCCGTATCCGTTTGTACTCGAAACTCTCCTCGACATCCCCTGGCTTGCTTCTCCTCGTCCACCCCACGTCGCTGTGCAATCCCCCGGCATTTACGACCCCCAACCAAAGGTTCCTCAACGTCCGGCGGGGGAGGAGAACCTCGGCGCCAATGTGTCAAAACCAGCTAAGCTCCATCTTCCTCTCGCGTCCCCTCCATTCCGAATTCGTGTCCACTCCGGCCGGGAACTCCCCCTTTGGCCTCCTCGGGACTCTATCGCGCCTGAAGCTGCTATCCAACTTGCCGGTGGATCAAGGTTTTCCAGCAAGAACTCTGCTAGAGTCTTGCATAAGCACTCCCCTGCCACCTACAGCCTATCTCAAGCTCTTCCCGTTCTGAGCCGGGAAGCTACATGGCTAACCAAATCGATATTGAGATTCGACGCGCAGGATAGCGGACCACAGACTCGCGGACGCGGAACAAAAGCCGACGTCTGAATAGAATCGCTCCGGGAAAAGCTTAGGGCGGACAAAACTCCAGAGGTTCCACCATCCATCCATCTCTCGCAACAATTACGGATATAAACATCAAGCTGTCCAAATGGCAGAGCGCAGTGATCAAAGGTTCAAGCACGGGGCTGCCTGAGACCATGGTTCGTCTTGGCTGACCCGTTCGCTTGGACTCCCGAAATGTTTAAACACACCCGACCTGCCCGCAAGTGCCGGGAGAAGCAACCCTCACAATCGGTCCCATCACCGAAGCTTTGCGCGCTGGATGGTCCCCTCCATCATGACTGTCAGATCCCATAATCGGCGGGCGTTCCGTCGTGACATGGCTTTCTCCAACGCCAAGGCTAGAGCCTAGATTGCTCTGGAGTGGTGGTTCCTCGATGTGTGGCACGTTATCAATGCTCATGGCATAGCCTAAATTTGTGCTTGTTCCGTGGAGATATATTTGTGGTGACAGATACAGTAGTGGTGGCGGGTTCCAAGCATAGGTTCTGCAGTCTACATAATTCATGCGGTTAGCAGGTTCATGAGCTATTTTGTTAATTGGTTGGAGCAATGGGAAGTCTAACATGAACCCTGTCACTTTTGGTCGAAATATCAGTACCATAATGACCTTTCGACCCTATGATCTTACCCCGTGAAGATGAACCGCGAGAGATTATCAGGCGCCCTTCATTAATTCTGACAGCGGATATAGAACTAAGAGGCACATAGGACTCTCTCCAAATATATTTCGAGCCCGGAACGTCTTCGTATGCCAAGGCCCAAGGGCCTGCCATTGGTGTCTTTTGTAGGTGCCCGTGAAGAGGAATCAGAGCTGGTGCTGACTGGGATATATCGGCTGCTCACTGGGGTTCAATGATGCTTCATGCGCCTGGCTACTGTGAAATGCGTACGAGTCATCCCCATCGACGACGATAATCTGCAAAGCTATTTGGAGTCACGCAACTACTTGGAGTCTTCCGCTAGTGTCCACAGGATGTGTACGCCTTGTTGTAGCGAAGCATAGGGGAGGGGAAGGGGGGGTTTCCCTTCAGTTGAAGTCAGTGACCAGGCCTTTTGGGGGGGTTCAACAGGGACGGGGCCATGAGTCCTATGCTTTCCCTTGTAGACCTGGACGTATTAGCTTTGAATATGCCAACGAGGCTAAGGGGAAACAACCAAGGCCTACGTTCTCAATATGGGACACCGATCCTGATGAGTCTGTAGTACAAAGCATGAGGAATGGTTTCGGTTGCCTCTGACTTTATTTGCAGTCAGTGGTAGTCCTTATCATCTGAGAAACAACTTCACGGTTTTCATTGGGGTACCGGTACTCTGTGGCGACAGAATCCAAGAAGAACTTATAGCCCAGATGAGTACCGACACGGAGCTAGAAGTCTATAGGGCGTAGATTTGTCCATCAAGTGTTCACAAAGACTATCTCGAGCTCGATGAAGGTATCCGCGATTCGACCGAAAGCTCGGTCGACGTCGTCTAAACACATGCCGACGTACGTTTTTTAGTTCTGGCTTGTCAAGTAGTTTTCCGTAGCCTCTTCGTAAGTGGTCGGCAGTCTTAGTCCTCGGCTCGCTACTAGCATCTCAATTACCACTCATCAAGGGGTAAGAGTTCCAATATGGCTGTACGTAGTTGATAGAGAGTGTTCTGGAGGTGTTCGTGTGATTTGAGCGGCAACTTGTGTTGATCTTGGCGCCGATATATGGCTAGCTGTCTTGTTGAATCAAAAAGTGTAGACTTGATATGAGACGGATCTGTCTTACACGAGAGCTTATTCATATTTTTGACTCATCATGCCAAAGGCAACGGCAATCGGCAGTAAGGAAAATCGAGTATCGATGATATGCCCCTGACAAGAGAGCGGCACATGTGGACTTGTCGAGGCTATCTATATCTTGACCCCCCAAGCTAGCAAGAACAACGTCCATGAATGGATCAGCTTGAACCATCTTAACTTATATAAAATTCAATCTTTCGCGAAGTTTTTCGACTGCCGCATAGCCTCAAAGCTTGAGATGGCCAGCTCAGAGACCCTGCGTGTCTGAGAACCCCTTTTCCAGATCCAAGCCTTTCATAGCATAGATTTCAGCACAATGACAGCAAATCTCTGCAATGCTGAAAGCATCTCTCTGCCCAAATCGTAAAGTTATGTTATACAGGTCCCCTTTCAGCTGCAGTCTACGAGGAGAGTGAGAAGGAGGTAGGTAGAAGATACTTTCCCGGTGCAAGACTTTGCACCCCCACTCGTACCTTCCCACCTACTACCTGCCTTCTTCCTATCTTTCGTCGAAGGAGGCTACTCATATCTCCTCAACTTCATTCCTGTCATCAGCACCCATCCGGATTGGCCGGGTGGTTTACACTCTGACGCAGAGATGTTAAAACAAATACTCCAATGAAGCCGTGCTGGCCTGAGGGGCGCGCTGTTCGAATCTGGGCAGGGGCGTGGATTATAAGGTCAGTATTCACCCTCTATTCCTTTCTTTTTTCTCTTTTATTCTTCCAAAGGTCCATTGAAATGTCTCTCTTATGATCTCATCCCTAATAAAGAATCTCTTTGGTGTTCTTTTCATTTATATCCCATTCTATTTTGTTTACCCCAGTCCAGATATGCCCACCCAATTCCTCCTTCATGCTCATTTCTCGTAGAAAACCACTCGCCCATGGCTCAGAGATCCCATACCGCAATCCAACAGAAAATCACCGTCCCTCGTTCAACGTCTTCAACATCTCCAACCCCCCTCATGCCTTGCCCTCCTCCAGCAGCTCCTTCGGCCACCGCACCTCAAACCCGCTCACCGTCTTCTGGATCTCCAGATCGCCCGGGTCCCCATCAAACAACGGCTTCTCCATCTTCTTCTCAAACACCTGCTCGACAAGCAACCCCCTCTCCCTCACGACATCGAAGAAGGCCAGGTCCTTGTGCCTCAGCCACGGCCGGTACGACGTGAAGAACACGTACGCCACGCTCCCTTCCTTCCTCGCCAGCGCCTCCCAGATCGTGTCGGCAAGCTTCCCGTGCTCAGAGTGCCGGAACAGCAGATCCGCCAACACCAGCACGTCAAACTTCTTCTCTTCCCCCTCGGCTGAAGAAGAAGAAGCAATCTCCGCCAATAAAGGCTTCACGTCCGCGCCCCAGACATACCCCTTGGGCACCACAACCCCCTCCAGATCCCCCGCCTCGTCCACATTCTTCTGCATCGTCATAACGATATCCGCGTCCGGGAAGTCCGACACCACGACGCGCTTCGCGCCCAAGATGCCCGCCGTCAAACTCGGCAGGCCGGCACCGGCACCGAGCTCCAGCACCGTCTTGCCCTTGACGCGGGACGGGTCCGCCTCAAAGTAGTCCGAGACCACGCGGCTTCCGTTCCAGAGGTGGTGCGCTTCGGTGGGTGAGTAGCCGACGAGGTGAAGCGTCAGGACTCGGCCCGAGGCGAGGGTGTGGGTTTGCGAAGTTGGTGGCGGGGTGGGCGGGTAGTAGTCCTCCGGGTCGGCGAAGAGGTCGCCCGTGTCGCCGTCGGCGACGTCGCTTACTGGGCTCATTGTGATGAATGTGTTGTGTCGTTTGCGAAATGAGTTGTTGGTGGTGGGCGTAGTCCCAGAGTAGCGACTGAGAGGTATCTTGATACCCTGGTTGAAGAGGGGCAGGTCCGAGTGAGAGACCCTGAGATGAGCCGGCTTAGTTATCCCGCTGTGAGACTCCGGGATGAAGGTGAAAAGCTTCTCTCTGTGAGAATACTTTCACTTGCTGAGTCTGGCTAGAGCGTCAGTCAGGGTCGGGCAAATGTGAAGGTGAGGTCAACTTACTTGGATGAATGCGGGGTGTAGAGGGGTCAATCGCAAATGAGTCGCAATTTTTTGACGTCTTCTTTTTTTTTTTTTTTTTTCCTTGCGACGAAGTAGAAGTGGGTACAGTGTTAGACAGTCGATTTCCCATGAGGAGGTGTAGTATTGGCGGTCTCAAACACAGTGTGAGGCAAGCGCTGGCACCTCACCTAAGGTACATCGGCTGAGAAGATTGTCTGAACTGCAGAGTTGAAGGACACTCAGCAGAGCGTATCGGGAGTACAGGCAGTGGGCCCTTACTTCTGTGATATTGGTAATTGTTTCTCATAAGTACAAAGTCGAATCTTTCGAACTGTGATTTCATATTTCTATATGCCTTCATCATCATTTCATCGGCACCAATTTGTTTGGGAAATAAAGCTCATGGACCACGCCTGCCTCCTATTTCGTATGTAAAGAAGCCTACCAGCCACAAAAGGAGACAAGCTGCTGGTATTCAAAGTTTCCATTCCTTTTCATTAGAGAATGAGCGTCTCTGGAAGAAGCCTTGCTTCAGCAAAGCTTGGTGCTGGTTCAACTAACGATGTCAAACTGTGTTCACTCCTGGCCACTCACTCACTTCATCAAGCAGGAAGAGACTGCGCTTCAAGACCGCACCTTTACCTACTCGTTACCACAAGATTATCGACTAATCTTTCTGGCGTTCCTGGAAAAGAGCTAACTTATCACAAGCGTGTACTTGGGGAGGTTCGGCCTGGCAGCCGGGAGGTTCAGACGAAGATCTCCTTCCTCTAACACGATCCGTCTTACCGTCTTATAAAAGGATTCACGCCAGCGGCATCTAGCGACTCTCATGTAGAGGCAATGGGCCCGGGCAGAGGCGATGGTAGCAGTGAGATGGTGATTGTGCTGAGGTCAAGCTTGCCGTATACTGTCGGGTTGCCTGATTCACTCAAGCTCACCCCATTGAAAGAGACAAGAACCAAAGAAAGACCCTGCCAACGCCCATTATCCAGCGAATCGAACGTATTCGTCACACATCGTGCAGATGAGCGTGGTGAGCTAGCATGACGAGCCAGCGAGTATCACTGTAGTAGGAAATGGGGCCATGAACTCGCCCATGAAGCATCTCTACCGGCTTTCTCTCAAGGCCAAAAGCCTTCGAGGCCGCAACTCCTCTAGAACTACCAGTTCAACAAAAGCCCAGCTACTCTTAACAGATCACATGCCATGTCAGAATCAAAGGTTTCTCAGTTTTCAATATAAACGGTCTTCTTGTTAAAGCAATAATCGGGGGTACATAAGACTATAAATAAGACTTCTACCTATAATACATACTCTTTATATTTTTCAACAAAGTAGTCTAGCTTCTTTACAAAAACACAACATTCGTCCAAGTAACTCACGCCAATTCAAAGGAAACACATTTATCCAAAATTTTCGGGCCCAAGAAGTTGTATATTCAAGTCAAGGAAGTTGAAACACAAGCATACTAAGAGACTCACATCCCCACAAGAGATTCGCATTAACTATCTTATAACTCCGTCCACGACCCAACGACACGCACGTATTCGTCCCATACTATCCAAACAGGCGAGACGAACGTAGCGAGCCAACAGATATAGCCCCAAGGACATCGTCTCTCCCTCTCTCTATCATAACCTAGCAACCCGCACGTATTCGTTACACATCGTTCAAACGAGCGAGACGAGCGTGACAAGCCAGCAACTTTAGACATGCCGACTAATCCATCTACTACCCCTACTAGTAGATCGTCGCTCTCACCTGAAGCCCAACTCGACCCTACGATGACCGCCGAGCCGCCTCCCGAAAAAGTCACGACGAAGACAGATAGAGCGCATTCATCCAGATACCTACGAACCAATGGATTTATATACTACCTTGCCAATCTACCCAGCCTAGACCCAGACCATGATAACATCCTCCCCCTTTACACTCACATCTCCCATACCTCACCCAAACCTCTGCTTCGCCAGCTCCCTCAGCCCCTTCATAACCCCCTCCTCCCGCTCCCGATACTCCCTAACCCTCTCCTCCCGCTCAGCAGCCCTCGCCCGCGCAATCTCCTCCCTCCTCACCTCCCTCTCCGTCTTCTTCCTCTCCTCCCGCGCCTTCATCGCCTTCAACTCGGCAAAACTATCCCCGCCACCCATGAGCTCCTGCTCGCCCACCTCCGCCACCCCACCATCCCCACCTAACCCCTTCTCCCGGAACTCCTTCATCTTCTCGTTGACCGCCGCCCTCTTCTCGAGCTGCCGCTCCCGCGTTCCCGCCTCCGCGCGCGGGGCGACGTCGTCCAGCCTCTCCCGCTGAAGCTTCCTGTCCTCTTTACGGGCCTGCCGGAGATCCGATGCCCGCGCCGAGCGGTCGCGCGCCGCGTCCTCAGCGAGGGTCTCGCGCTGCAGGGAGAGGTCTGCCATATTGGGGATCCCGGGGCCGGAGCGCTGGCCGGTGCCGCGCGAGGTGGGGGGTAACCTCGGTCCAAGATCGTCGTCGTCGTCGTCGTCGGCATCCTCATCATTGCGATCCCCATCATCCTCATCATCAGTCCTCTCCCTGTCATGATCCCTCTCCTCGCTCCTCTCCACCACTTCCTCTAGCTCCCTACTATCAGACCCCCGCGAATCAATCCCAACCTCAAGAGCCCTCTCCTTGGCAGAGACAAACATCTCGGGATCATACCACCCCTGCGACAGCTCCCCGCGGTTCCACTTCCCCACGAAACTCTTCCACCGACCCCTCACCTCCCTCTCGTCCATCTCGCGAATGTCCTTTTGCTTCTGCAGGTCGAGGTAATACGCCAACAGCGGCCGAAACACCTCCATCTCCGACTTGCCCAGCTGGCGCGCCTCGTACGGCAACGACACCGCCACAGCAGCCGCCTTCTTCTCTTTCGAAGCAGTGCCGCCGCCGCTGGCAGTATCACGCGGACTATCCCGGTGCCGACGATGGTGGTGATGGCGTCGATGCCTGTGTCTCGAATCCCGATCCTCCGGGTCATCGCGGTCGCGGTCGCGGCGGCTGCCGCCGTCGTCTCCGCGGGGAGATCTCGCTCTCCGCTCCCGATGCGAACCGCCCTCGCCGACGGGTGACCTCCGCCTCACTTCATCCCGGTGCCGTCTCGGGGACCTTGACCTCGACCGGGAGCGGGTCCGTCCGTATCTCCGCTCCTCACCCCTCCGCTCGCCCGAGCGTTCGTCGCCTCCGGCCATACTTCAGAGGACAAATTGACGTTCAAATGAGTGAGTTACCCTTCTGCGCAAGGATGCGCCAAGTTTGGACGAGATTAAGATGAAAAGATCCACGATAAGGCACCCTCGCTAAACACACAAAAGACCCCTCCTCGCCTGTTTGCAACACGTCCTTCTCGAAAGAACCTCAGAAAACAAGCTTTTCTCCCTGCTTTTGGGGTTCGTTCCCAAAAAATGTGACAAGCAAGGTCGCACGTCAGATATTTCTTGACAAGGATGGCGACTGCTCTCTCCCCAAAGAGAAACTTGACAGAGTGAGGTGGTGGGTGTGTGGGGTAAGGATCTCTGGTCCGACGTCGAATCGTGGCCGTCTCTTTGTTTGACCACAGTTTCAGGCTGGGAGAATCTGCCGCGACGGTGAAGCCGATCAGCCGAATTGGCCTGCGCACCCAGAGGAAGGGGGGTGGCAATATTCGGAGGATGCCGACGGCGAACGGACTTGAGTGAAGTGTGAATTTTGCGGCGGCAGGTAATGCAGGTGCGTGAACCTCGAGAGGGGAGAAATTGCAATGGTGCTGGATATCAAAGTAAGGTACGGTAGGTAGTTGGAAGGTTAGTCGTTTGCGGTGAAGTTGTTGTACGAGAAGTCGACGTCCGTGCCTCCTGACGGTAAGAAAAAGTTGGAGACTCCCCTGGTCTCGCGGCGTGGCTGCCCTGGGGACCGGAGCAGTGGATACCCCAACTTCGGCGCCGGAAGGCAGCACACACCGTGCCGAGTTCCCCTCTCCTGCCTACGCCAACTCCGAAAGTAATGTCTGAATTACGGCACTTGAGCCCGGGTTCTATCGTCTATCAATTTCTAGCTGTCTCAGCACAGTGAAGGTATTTCCCAGCTCATTCTTGGCTTCACTGTGCACGATACTCGAGGGAAGTGTTGAATAGTTTCTGTTTCGATTTCAATCACTGGATCGTCAAACGTTCTATGAACGAGTACTTATTCTATCAGTACTATGATGCGGCCAGTAGAGGGTATCGTCCCAAACACCGCGTATGCAACTCGAAAACGGCTGAAGAATGCCGACCTTCCAAAAGACTCCTTCGTATCCATCGTGGAGGGTAAAACATTCCGCAAAACCTAATCCTTTGCGGACCCTAGCTCGACACACCCGAACACCCCTCATCCTGACTCGGGCATGGGCGAGTTATTGTGTATCGAGCAGCCGAGGCACTGACAATCGTCGCCGCATGGGCATGACGACGTCTCGCCAGCGCATCCGTCACCGTTGAACGGATATGTCACGAAGAAGAAGTCGTTCGCCGATAGTGCCTGCTCTTCACTCAACACTGAGGCTCCATCGGAAGGTGTTTGCGGCCCAGCAGGAGAACCGCCATTTTCGCCGTTCGTGTGTACGTCCATTCCGCGGGCGCCAGTCCCGTTGGTCGTTGCCGTCTCCGAGTGCCCATTCGTACCGTTCGTGCCGTTCGTGCCGTTCGTACCATTCGTCATTCCATAAGAGTCGTCCAGCATACTTGTGTATGCAGATCGCACGTAGTCTTGTGTCGCATCGTTGTAAGGGTGAGCCGCGCAGCCCACACACTGGCAGCCGTCGCCACAGCTGCACATGTGTGATGTTGATTCGGGCATCATTGGGGTTGTACCATCTGGGGTAAAAAGCGAGTTCGGCATGCCGTATGCGGCCGGCGGCGGGATTGGTTGACCATACTGCTGCGCCTCCATCTGCTGCTTCCACTGTGCAGGCTGTAGCGGTGACATCCAAGACCCGTATTGAGGCGGATATGTGAAAATTGTTGGTTGAAAGTATGAGTTGAACATGCCTTGGGGCATGGCGGTAGGTGTCTGGAAAGGCGACATGGCTATGGCGCTCGACGGCGACATATGGCCATTCGACATGTGATGTACGTTTGTGTCTATCGCAGGCGCCTTGCTAGAGCAACAACCGCCGTTCTTAGGCTTTGCTTGCGTCTTGGGGCTCGAGCTGACACTAGAAGGCTGTGTAGAGCTCCCCTCGGCTTTGCTCGGCCCTGAGCAACATGAGCCACCCGTGCTGGTACTCGTCAACGAGGGCGGAGGGGCGGGCTTCGGCGCCCCTTTTGTCTTTCCCGAGCAGCAAGATCCCCTATTCGACGCCGCTGCCATCGGAGTCGACGCTGTCGCAGTCTGTGGCGTGTTGATGGCTGATGGTACGGCATTTGGCTGAGGCATCGACATCGCGGCTCCCGAAGGAAACATGGGCGCGGGCATCTGCTGTGGGAACATTGGATACATGATGGGTTGGTGGAAACCGCCGTTAACGCCGCCCATCATGGTCATACCGCCGTACTCCATCCCATTTCTAGGTGCGGGCATGCCCGGTATGCCACCGTTGGCTTGCGGCATGTGATTCGCTTGGGCCATGTCGTATGGCGGCAGTATGTTGATATTGGTGGCATCCATTCTCTCGAGGTTCACGGGATCGAACGACTGCTTGCGACTGGCCGCCTTGGGGGCGGACTTTTGTATGCGAAAGGAGGCGGCGGATGCCTTGGTCGGGGACATTGGCGGGACATCGCTCGCCGGCGATTCTGCCTTGATGACACTGGGGGATTCTGCGGGGGTTCCGGCGTTGCTGGAGCCGCAGCCGCATTTCTGCTTTCTCGGGATGGCGGCCGTTACGCTACCACAGCCGCAACCGCGGGAGGGTGGATGAGGACATGTGCTCAAAGGTCTGCCTGGCTTTCGAACGGGGACCATCAAGCGTTCATTCGCATGGGTGCATTTGGTGGAGCGATGACCACGGATGCATGGCTCGCTGAAGAGCGGAGGGTGAAATGGTCAGCTCAGGGTCTAGCAGAAAGCGAGTTGCGGGAATCCATCGATGCACAGAGAAAATCGCAAGTCGTGGTCGTGGTACAGCGAACGAGAACACGGCGAAGAGAAAGCGAAATGAGAGAGGACAGGGACGGAAGGAATAGGACGTTGTGACTTACCAAGCCATCTTCTGGCCGTTGATGAGCGGCATGGTGGGCTGTGGTGGGGGTGGCTCTCAAGGTTGCTATGATACGTGAGAGGGGGTAGAAATTTTGGCGATCTTCCAGGTTGCGGCAGAGTCTCCGGGCTTCTCTAAGAAGGTAATTGCAAAAGTAAAAGCTGCGATGAATGTCGCTCGCTCAGGCTTCCGCCCCAATAGACCTCGGACGGTGGGAGTGAACGGCGGCGTGGAACATGAAGGCGGGAGCCAGCTCTCAAGGTGCGGCGGCGGCGTTCGTCGAGTCTTGGTTCTGGTCGTCGTATGGTTCGCGGTCGCTGCTGGTCGGTCTCTTTTTGGTGGGCTTGTTTGCGACGCAGGTAAGCAAGCTATGTATCCGGCAACGATGGGTGAAATCGGCTCAGCGGGTAAGAAAGGCCATGTGATGATCGAGCCGGCGCCGGCGGTAAGGTGAGTCGTCGGGGCTTCCAGCGCAAAGCAAATCGGTAACGATGTCGAGGTGAGAAATGCGGGATTGCAAGAGCTGGAGGTTTGGCGAGAGAAACGAGCGGCGTTTCGAGCGTGAAGAGGTTTAAAGCTGCGCGCAAAGGCCGGGGGGTCGTAAGGGCGGGCTTCTGGGTATTGAATGAAATGGAAAGTAGACAGGACTCAGAGAGAAGCGCCGGGTCGGCAAAGCAGTGGGATCGTTGCTACCTTTACCTTAGCTGCCCTGGTGCCCAAGGTAAGGTATCCGTAGTGCTTAGTGTGTGGGTGGTGGTCAGGGAAGACAAAGTTACAAAGGCGGGTTGGCAGAGGGCAGAAACAGCGGCGGTCCATGGGAACAGGAAACGGCCCCAGTGGACCGTTTGAGGTGGAAAGGACGTCGGCGTCGGGGGAGACGGGGTTTGGCCTGTACAGATAGTCCACTGCGACTGGGGAAGGAACAACACGGTCAACACCAGTAGCACCTGCTCGAGTCGAGTCAAGGTAGGTAGGTACCTTTGGATAAGGTAAGGTAGGTAACTTGAAGAGCAGCCAAGGTAGGTCCCTTCTTTCCTCTCTTTCTTCCTCACTCCTTCCCCCGGTCTGAATTCAGCAAGAGGTACAACCATTGAACCACCTCATACAGGTAGGTAGGCACTTGCCTCCTCTCGGGTAGCCTTGGGTCCCTGACCAGCACTAGCGGCCCCTATGCTCGATGTCCTGCCTGGGTCCTTGGCATTCACGGCATCGTCTAAGGTAGTCCAGCCCAGTGTGAGCCTTTGAAAGTGAGTTCCAGTTCCGAGCCCCCCCCAGCCAGCAGCGGCAAGAGGAGACGCCCAAGAGAAGCACGGGCGAACAGTGGACAGCGGCGGTGGGCGTGGGCGATGGATGGGGCGCGGCTGGCGGGAGGGGGGTGAGCGAGCCAGGTGAGGTACGGCATCCCGGTAGCGCATCGAAACAGCCCCACGTGCGGGGGGTTTACTACCTTACCTTACATGCCTCGCTCGCTGTCCGCCGCCTGCTTCGCTTTCTGCCTTGCTCGGATACTCGACGCATGGATTACAAAGATAATTAATTCAATGAGGGTACGAATATCGTACAGATACCTTACCGAAATCTCAGTGCCCAGTGACAAGTCTGCTTACATCAGTATCTGCGATGAAAGCCCGGGCGGGAAGAGGGGTCTGTCTGCAGCTCTCATCACAGACGGCATGCCATGTCTGTCCGTACGCCTAGAACCACTGGACAGGTACATGCACAGATACCCTTTCCGGCTATGCCACCTCAACCTCGTCTTACAATCCGAGCCCAGTCATGTCCATGGTTCCTCACTTCCAACCTCAATGCCTTATAATAATCGAACATGGGATGACTCTAGATTGCCCTGATTATCCATCTCTCTTCTTCACTCTTGTTCGGAGCAAGCTTTTTTTGACGGCAACTTTCTAACCAACTCTAAGGCACGTTATCCAACACGATAGCAGGGCCAACCCAGCAGCAGCACCACCACCAACTCGGCTTTGCTGCGCAGTGCTTGAAATGGTAAGCCGGCCGCGGTTGGGACTTTACCTCAAGCCCGTAATCTATGGTCTGGACGCGGCGCGCTTCCCACGTTGACATGGCGTTCGCCGCAGAAGCGTCCCGAGCGTCTATCTCTCTCATGCCCAGATACGATCCCCAATTACCAGCACAAGACATGTCGCATCGCATCGGAAAAGGGAGAAACAAAGAAAGACGTGAGAGAAATGTGGCTGACTAGCAAGACACAGCTCCCGGCTATGAGAATAAGCCGCCTGCTCTTCTCTTTTTCTGCCGGGATACGCTGCCCAACTTGATAAGAAGCTAACTCTGGATCGCCGTTTAGTACCGAGTTCCCGTTTTCCCTTACTCTCCGTAAACCAGTCTTGTCTCTTTACACAGTACATGAGGATATGAGAGCAGGCCCTCGAGGTCATATTTCTTCTTTCATGCCATTCTTGCATAATGACATGTCGTCGTGCCCCCCCCTATATCGATTGTAAGATCCATCATCAGAGGGAACTGTAAGATCATGTCAAGGGTCCAGACTTCGAGATCCTGTGCGACCACAAACGCACTTTCCATCCCACTTACTCAAACATTACCGCTGACCGTCTGACTGGGCTCATCCTCTCGCTCCCGCGAGTCGGTGCCGAGTCCGCGGTCGGCCCAGCCTCACCAGCCTGAGTTGGGCCCTTCATCCTCCACCCGTGTTAGTCGTCCACGCGCCAACGACAAACCCGCACGGATATCGCACCACAGATTTCCCAAAAGCCCAAGCATTCCGAGGGACCCTACAAAAATCAACCCATAAAAGAATGCGTATCCCACGGCCAGGCTCTCTACATCAGGAAATTCGAGCGTAGGAGAAAGGTGAGGAACGCCGTAGTCACCGTAAGGAGGGTGGGAGCGAGCAAGTAAAAAAAAAAAACAACCGACTACATACTCCACCGTTAGAGGCTCGAGAGGCAAGGGAAGTGAGCAAGTTTTGATTGGCCGGATCCGGTCAAGCACCACCAAAAATTCACAACGAGACGGTCGTCGAACCAGACCACCCCTCTCTCTCGCTCTCTCGCCCTCTCTCTCTACGAGCCTACCCAACAAGAAACCGCTTCACACGAAGAATGCGTATCCATGGCTGTGCAGAAGTAGCGCTCCGAAAAAGGGTACCCCGTGGGTGGACACTTTGTGATGTAACCTGTGTGCCTGTGTCGTTGGCATTAAGGCGGCTTCTCTCTTCATTCTCCGCCGCAACTTGTGGCGCGGGGCTATATATATGTTGCTGAAAGTGAGGAAGGGAGAGATCTCTGTAGAGGCAATATGTAGACGGCTCGTCAATTACTGCCCTCACCTCCACGCCAAGGTGAACCCGTCAACCGACGCTTCACTTATGCCGTCATATCTCGTCCCTTTCATATATCCATCCGTATGAACTTGTCTGCCCATCACCCTTTATGCATTGCCATGCCGCGCTCTCTCTAAGCGGCTTCGGGCAGCCTAAACTTGGACCGCCCCGTCCTTCCTCTGCAGGACGGCTGCCATATTCCCCTCTCACATATACCCCGTCCCGCTCACGGCCCAGTCAAGACACATGCGTTTACAATACTATTCTTCAGATAGACCCAGGATCTTCATAGGGTGAGCAGTTTTTATCAATCGTCCAAGCCCGCCGTCTCGCCCCTGGTGTCGTCTTGGCCTACTTCAAGAACCAGCGCCTGCGTCCGCCACGCGCGCTTAGTTTCCCTCATCCGAATCCCCAGAGTCAGCAAACATGTCCACTGCTCTCATCCTTTTCCGAGGCTGTCCCTTCGGCTGGGTTGATAATTGCAAACGTCCGACAGTGGGGGCGTCGTCAGTCTTCGCGGCCTCTGCCGTTCCTTCTACCTTGCTGCTGGTCTCGCCTGACGGTGACTGATCCTTTGCCGTTTCGGTTGCGTCCTCTTCCATCGGCTCCCCCTCGACATCATCATCCACCATGGGCTCACCCTCCACATCCTCCTCGCTCATTGGTTCGCCCATGACATCGTCTTCTTCCATGGGTTCACCGGCAACATCCTCCTCGTCCATTGGTTCGCCTTCGACGTCCTCCACCTCTTTGTCAGCTGTTGGCTCTGCCGCTCTCTGATCAAGGGTGCTCGTTGTGGCAGCATCGGCGGCCGGCATCGAGGACTTCTCAACCACCTTCCATCTACCCTTCTTGGCTGCGTCATCTTCGATCTGCTCTTGCGTCTTTGAAGATGGCGGGTTTTCGAAAGTTTTGGCAAACAACTCCTGACTCTCCGTTGGGAAGACACACCAACCTTCCCAGAGGCTCAGGACTAGACCAACGCTTCGTTTCCACTTCTCAGCCCGTAATCGGCCCCAGTTTAGCTTCTCGGCCATCAGCCCCAGACCCTCAAAAATATTGCGCTCTTTGAGTGCTCCTTCGAAGATTTGTCGATACCGCCAAGCACGCTGAATACCGCTACTAGAGGAAGCGGATAGCACGTCGCTGACAACGTATAGGCCCACAAGGCTTGCGCCGCTCGTGTAAGGGCCCTCCTTCTCGGTTTTCTCTTCTGGCTCAGCTTCAGGCGGCTCTGAATCGCCCCTTTGTCTTCCCTTCTCTTTGCCATTTGACTGAAACTCTGGGTTGGCCGCTGTTAGTGCAAAGGGCTTCTCGACATTCGAGACGATCATGTCGACGACCTCTTTAGCACCCCGGCTTGCGTGCGTAAGCGCAAACGCTGTCACTCGGGCGACATCTCCTTTCCGAATTTTAGACAAAGTTGTGGGCAAACGTGAT